TTTTTTTTTTTTGGCAGCTGGCCTTATGGGGATCTGAACCCTTGACCTTGGTGTTAAAAGACAGCTCTCTAACCAGCTGATCTAAGAGGCCAGCCCTTTTAATTTTTAAGTGTTTAAGAGGTAGCCTCTATCAGACTGCATAAATTCAAATCTGGCCCACAACTTACTAGCCATGAAGCTTTGGCTGAGTGATTGAACAGTCTGTGCCTCAGTTTCCCCATTTGTAAAATGGGGATAATCCTAGCACTTAGAGAGTTGTTGTGAGGATTAAGAGTTCTCATTTGCAAAGCACATAGACCAGGGCCTGACATATGGTGAGTGCTCAGTAAATGTTAGCTACAGTTATTATTTATTATTCCACAGTTCATGCATTCAGAACAGATGTGATGGAAGATTGATCTAAGATGCCCTTACAAAGGGGCTCCCTCAAGGTGTAGTCACCTCACACATGCTCACACAGATCCCTGGAGTGGCCTCATGGGATGGCCCTACCATGGAATGGGGGATATTTCCCTGAAGACGTAAGGGTAGCACTGGAAATGTTGGGAACAGCGTGTCGAAAGGCCCTGAGGCCCAGATTCCCCATCTACTAGGAATGGCCCAGGTTGAGGACTCTTCTGAGGTAGGGGACAAAGGAAGGACATCCTGGGGTGATCTGAGTTGGGGGACCTCTCCCAGGTCGAATGGTACTATGTAGTATATTGACCTTTACCCTTTCCTTTATCCACCTTTAGGTCGCCATCAAGATCATTGACAAAACCCAGCTGAATCCCAGCAGCCTGCAAAAGGTGAGGCCCAGGGAGAGGGAGCAGGGTGGAAGCGAGGTTCCTGGCACAGCCAGGCGACCTGCCCAACCCCTCCAGCATGGGCCTTGCAACAAAGGGGAATCCCAAAACCACCCATCCTCACTCTTCTCTCTCTTCCTTTCTGACCTTCTTCAGCTGTTCCGAGAAGTCCGCATCATGAAGGGCCTAAACCATCCCAACATTGGTGAGGAGGGGAAGGGAGTGGTCTCAGAGGCAGGCCACCAACCGGGCCTTGGGAAAGGAGAGAGTCAGGGGAAGGTGGGAGGACCACTGGTTATCACAGTTAGACCTGGTTTCTCATAGTGGCATCACTGCTGTGTGACCTTGTGCGAGTCACTTAACCTTTCTGAGACTCTGATTTCTCTTCTGGAGTGGGAGTGATAAGAGGGCCTATTTCAAGGTCATTGTGAGGATTGGGTAAGATCGTGAATTCAGAACACTTAGTTCAGGGCTAAGCTGTGGGAGCTGGTCTGATTGTTTTCATCAGCAGCATTGTCATCATTAGGCAGAGGTGGGAGGGAGGCGTCTTTGCTGAAAGAAGCAGGGTTTAGCCTGGCCTGGTTGTGGCTGCAGTGTTCATTCATCCATTCGTTCATTTACTCGGTAAATATTTTTTGAGTGGCTGCTGTATGCCATGCACTAGGGATACGGCAGTGAAGAAAACAGACACAAATTCCTGACCTCATTGAGCTGACATTCTTGTGAGAGAGAAAGTAGAAAAGGTGGTAAAGGGGGGCTGAGGATTTTAGAAAATCTTGCCATCAGTAGGGAGTCATTGAGTGTTCTTTGTAGGGGCTGTTATGGTCAGCACACCCGCATAGTTACTGAGTATAGGTGGAGGGTGGGGGGTGTCCCTTTCCGCCTAACACCCACCCCCCAATTTCCTGCCCCCCACCTTGGCCATTGCAGTGAAGCTCTTCGAGGTGATCGAGACTGAGAAGACACTGTACCTGGTGATGGAATACGCAAGTGCCGGTGAGGCCCCACCCTCCCTGCCCTGCCCCCTGCATCCTCCACGCCCCTGCCCTGACGCCACTCGGCCTCTGCCCTACAGGAGAAGTGTTTGACTACCTCGTGTCACACGGCCGCATGAAGGAGAAGGAAGCTCGAGCCAAGTTCCGACAGGTCAGGGGTGGGGCTGGGGGGTGTGCCTGGGTTACTGGAGAGAGCATCCGAGAGCTGGGCATGGGTCTGGGCTGGCCAGTGACCTGGGGGCAGGGCTTAAGTCTGGGTGGGGGTGAAGGTGCAAAGTCTGGTGTCCATGGACATGCAGATGCTCATATGTGAGGATGTAGATGTAGGTGTGCAGGTGCCCAGCTGGGCCGGTGAGAGGATGTTCAGCCATGAAGGTGCCCAGGGTGCAGGTGTTGCATGTGTGGGCACAATGGTGTGGCCAGTGGGTAGGTGTGTAGATGAGAGGGCACACAGGTGTGGCACAAGGGTGCTGAGGCATGAGTATGGAGGACTGAGGATCAGAAGAAGTGTGGGAAGTAGTGTGTGGGTGCCCAGGAGTGTAGGGGTGTGAGTAGGAGAGTGTGTGGCAGCCACTGGGTGCATGGGTGAGGGGCCCAGGTGTGGGCATGTAAGTCTGTGGGTAAGAGGGCATACAGGTGTGAGAGTGTCCAGGTTTGTGGTAGCGAGGATGCCCAGGTGTGTAAGAGTGTGGGAGGGGGCCCAGGTGTGGGTCTGCAGGTTGGTGGGCAAGAGGCTGTGTGGTGTGTGGATGCCCAGGTGGGTAAATAAGAAGATATGTGGATGTCCGGGTCTGTGGCAGTGAGGGTGCCCAGATATGAAGGAGAGCATGAAGGTGTGAGAGCAACCAGGGACGTAGGTAAGAGGGCATGCAGGTGTGATGGTGTCCAGGTATGTAAGAGAACATGCAGGTATGAGGGTGTCCAGGTGTGGGGTTGTGAGGGCACGTGTGATGGCGCCCAGGTGGGAGGGTAAGGGGACATGCAGGTGTGAGGGTGCCCAGATGTGAGGGAACCCAGGTGTGAAGGTAAGGGGACATGCAGATGTGACGGCGCCCAGGTGTGAGGGTAAGGGGACATGCAGGTGTGACGGCGCCCAGGTGTGAGGGTGCCCAGGTGTGTGGGTAAGGGGACATGCAGGTGTGAGGATGCCCAGGTGTGAGGGTAAGGGGACATGCAGGTGTGAGGGTGCCCAGGTGTGTGGGTGTGAGGGTATCAGTTTGGGACTGTCCAGCTGCCCTGACAAGGCTGTCCTGGGTGTGAGGGGTTTAAGCCCTGATGAATTGGGGCCACATGTCTGTCTGCAGGTGTGTGATGTTCTAAAGGGAGTTTCCAGGTGTGAAAGTCAGGACGGGGCTAGTCCCAATGTCTTGGTTCTGATGTCCCTGAGCATGAGGATGTCTCACTGTCTGGATGTAAGGATGTCCAGGTGTCCCCGTGGAAGTGTGTGTCTGTGCAGGTCTCATGAGAGTCTCTTACTGTGTCCAATTCAGTGTGTGAAGCCCCAGGGAAGGACTGGGGTCCAGCAGCTTGGTTGTGAGTGGCTTCTCAGGGCCACTGAGGGAGGCTGAAGGCTTTGGGGCCACAAGTAACTTGCCCTCTTGTTCCTTCCAGATTGTATCGGCTGTGCACTATTGTCACCAGAAAAACATTGTACACAGGGACCTAAAGGTAAGCCTCCCACACCACTGTCACCCCAGGGGCCCCAGCTCAGCCCACAGACAAGCCCCCCCATATCTCCCCAGCCCAAACCCTGGTCCTCTCCACGATTCGCCTGTATCCTTCAACAAATTCCCCCAGCCCTCTTCTCCTGGTGCTCCTCCCTTGGCACCCAAAGCCCCTTTACTCTTTCCAAGTTTTGTGGCAAAGGCAAGGCCAGCAGGTGGGACACTGGTGGGGGAGGTAGGGACAGGGGGAGTGGACAAAGGGGAAAGAAACAAAGTGTCCTAGAACAGCCCTGGACAGTTACACGGGTATTAGACAAGGACACCCTCAGAGCCTGATGGCTTGGTATCTCTCAGACTTTAGAACATTCAGGAATAGTTGAGAATTTAGATTTTAGATGCCCAGAGTCACATTGCCTGCAGGGTCTTAGAATCACAGGAAGTTTAGAACTTGAGAAGGACCTTTGAGAAAGAAACCACCTTGGCTAGCACTAGGTAGGGGAGGGACACAGCAGGGCTAGCCCCCAGCTGTCCCCTTGAGTAGCTCTGTGTCCTCGGGGGTCCCCGTTCCATACCTCCTCAGAGAGAGCTGCATGTGTCAGGACTTCCCATCGAAGACCAATAGATGAACGTTTGTCTGGCTTGGATCAAGTTGTCTTGACTGTCATTTTGTGAGCACCTAAAATGTACAAGGCCATGTGCCTAAGTGCTTTAAGGAAGTGCTTTTCAAACTATCTGTGGTGAAGGACTAGGTTTGTTTTGTTGGTTTTTTTTTAAAAAAACAACTTATCCTGGCCGGCCCGTGGCTCACTTGGGAGAGTGCGGTGCTGATAACAGCAAGGCCACGGGTTCGGATCCCTATATAGGGATGGCCAGTTCACTCACTTGGGAGAGCGTGGTGCTGACAACACCAAGCCAAGGGTTAAGATCCCCTTACCGGTCATCTTAAAAAACAAACAAACAACTTGTCCGTCGTGGACATGTATTTTTGTAAAACACAATAAAAATGAATTGCAGTAAAAATGAAATGACGGGCCTGGCCGGTTAGCTCACTCGGTAGAGTGAGGTGGTGATAACACCAAGGTCAAGAGTTCAGGTCCCGGTGCCGGCCAGCTGCCAAGAAAATAAAAAGATAGAAATGAAAAAAAGATGTACAAAGTGCAAGCCACATTTTAAAAATTATTATTAGATTCAAAAGACAATAATTCTACTGTTAAATTGCTGTAGAATTTTCTACACACTCACTCTGCGCTTCCTTCCTGGTGAGTCCACACACAACCCTCGCAACCCTCCAGCAAGAGCCTTAGAGGCTTCTGCCTTTGCCCTGCAGCGGTGCAGTAGATGGTGCAGTAGATGGTGCAGATTAACCTGGAGGCCTCGCGCCCCCTGGCAGAGGGTCCTGCCAGTGGTTAAAACAAGTTTTGGGGTCCTACTAGTGTACCCCGGGGAAAAACTGAGGGGACAGACCCAGATGGGAGGTTGCAGCTGGATCGTGGAGCCTCGAATGCTGGGTTGTAACCCCTGAGCAAGACAGATGCTGTTAGAGTCAGGTTTGGGGAAGAGCGCTGGGAGTGTGTCTTTGTAGGTTTTGTCCCTTTGTTGGGGCAAGAGCTGGGGAAGGGTGGTACAGAAAGAACCAGGAGCTATAGGGAGACCCGTGAGGAGGCTGGAGATGCTGGTGGCCTGACCTAGGGAAGTACCACAGTTGGGATGCGTCAGATGTGGGTGACATTCCTAAGTCTGGATTTGTGCATCTATTTGTTGTCAAAAGGCTGGAGAGGCAGGATGCTGGAGGCGCCACGCTCAAGCCATGGAGATGACCGGCCTTGTTTGGATTCCAGCTCTGCCCTTTATTTCTGTGGACAGGGTTGCCTCCCTAAGCCTCAGTTTACTCGCCTGTGAAATGCAATTGCAAAGACCATGTGCCACAAAAAATAGACAGAACTTTATAGAAATAGGAGGCATTTATTTATTTATTTATTTAAAGATGACTGGTAAGGGGATCTTAACCCTTGACTTGGTGTTGTCAGCACCACACTCACCCATTGAGCTAACTGGCCATCCCTATATAGGGATCTGAACCCGTGGCCTTGGTGTTATCAGCGCCACACTCTCCCAAGTGAGCCACAGGCCAGCCCAGGAGGCATTTATTGAGTGCTGTATTCCATGTGCCTTTGTAAGCACTTGACACATGACCACCTATAAGGCAGATGCTGTGATTACCCTCAGTTTACACATGGGGAAACTGAGGCCCGAAGAGGTCTGGTAACCTACCCAAAGTCACATAGCAAGTGAGCATTGGAGCTGGAACGGGAAGCTGGGATTCTCCAAGAATCTGTACCCTTGACCTCGTGTTATGCAGCCTCTCTTATAAATGATGGTCCACAAAGCTGGGCACATAGTAGGTATGCAACAAGTACTAGATTAAATGACTTTCATTTTTATGGATCTTGAGCAGTCAGTCCTCATCTTTTTCTGATGCATAAACTGAGGCTTAGAGGCAGGCAAGAGTTTGCTTGAAGACCCCCAGCTCATCAGACCATATGGGATAATATTAATGTTATGTAGTGCTCACAGGGTATGAAGTAATGTTCTAGAACTTTTATGTGGATTAAGTCATTTATTTTTTATTTATTTATTTATTTTTTAAAAGATGACAGGTAAGGGGATCTCAACCCTTGGCTTGGTGTTGTCAGCACCACACTCAGCCAGTGAGCTAACCGGCCATCCCTATATAGGATCTGAACCCGTGGCCTTGGTGTTATCAGCACCACACTCTCCCGAGTGAGCCATGGGCCGGCCCTGGATTAAGTCATTTAACTCTCAGGCTGCCCCTGAGGAAGGGACTATGATTATCCCCAATCTGTGGATAAGGAAACTGAGGCCCAGAGAGGTAAAGTCACTGCCCAAGGTGGGCCAGCTCCAGAGCTCCTATCTACTCCACATGCTCACGTGAGGTTTTGGCCATGAGTCCCACCCTCTGCCCTCTCTTTCTTTCTTCTCAGGCTGAGAACCTCTTGCTGGATGCCGAGGCCAACATCAAAATTGCTGACTTTGGCTTCAGCAATGAGTTCACACTGGGCTCGAAGCTGGACACGTTCTGCGGGAGCCCCCCGTATGCCGCCCCGGAGCTGTTCCAGGGCAAGAAATACGATGGGCCAGAGGTGGACATCTGGAGCCTCGGCGTCATCCTCTACACCCTTGTCAGCGGCTCCCTGCCCTTCGATGGGCACAACCTCAAGGTGCTGGGCAGAGCTGGTGCGGGGATATTGCTTTCCATGATCAAAACCCTTCCCCCGCACACCTCCTCTGCAGAGGGCCAGAGCGGAGGGGCTGGCCTGTGGTCATTCACAAGATGGGGGCAGGCAGGATGCAGGTCCCCACTGCCGTGAAGCCAGGCAAATAAACCATGCTGTGCTGGGGCTCACAGCAGGAGCTTCGCAGCTGACAGGTTTGGGTTCAAAGCCTGGCTCACTCACCCACTCAGTAAATGTTTATTGCTCACCTCTGTGTCTCAGGCTTTGTTTTAGTCTTTGCAAATACGGTGTGAACAAGACAGACAAAAATTCCTGCCCTCATATATGCTATATCATGGGTGAACCTTGAAAACATTGTGCTAAATGACAGAAGGCAGTCACAAAAGGCCACAGAGTGTATGACTCCATTTATATGAAATGTCCGGAATAGGCAAATCCATTGAGACAGAAAGTAGATTCATGGTTGCCTAAGGCTGGGGCGATGGGGGAGCTGGGGATGATAACTGAGGGACACAGGGTTTCTTTTGATTTGATGAAAAATGTAAAATTGATTGTGTTGGTGATTGCACAACACGGTGAATATACTAAAAACCATTGAATTCTACATTTGAAACAAAAAAATGTCTATCTTCTCCAGGGTTCTATTCCTGTACTAGCCACCCACCCCCCCAAAAAAAATTATTGTCCTGTCCTCATGGACTAACATTCCAACAGCAGAGTCAGGCAGAAAACAAAATAAATAAGCAAAATGTGTATTATGTCAGTTGCTGGCCAGTGCTGGGGGGGGGCAGGGGGCGGGGAGAGAATATTGGAAAGAGGTGGGAAGTGTGGGATGAGTTGTAGTTAGCATTTTTTTCCCCCTTAGAACTTTTTATTTTGAAACATTGCCAATCTACAGAAAAGTTGCAAGAATAGAACAAAGAACACATGGTACCTTTCAAGAGATTCACAATTGCTGGCATGTGGCCACATTGGCTGTATCTGTCTGTATATGCACATGATGTTATTGCTGTCGTCATCGTTATTGATGGACCATTTGACAGTTAGTTGCAGACATTGTGTCCCTTTGTCCTTAAAGGCTACAGTGAATTATATCCTGAGACCAGGGGCATTTTCCTGCACAGGAAATGCAGCACTTATAGGATCTTGGCCCCTACCCCACAGTCCATACTTCATCAGTCATCCCAGGAACATCGTTGGAGCTGTTTTTCTCCCTAGCCCAGGATCCACCCAAGTTCCCGAGCTGCATTCAGTTGAGCTGTCTCTTTTTGTCTCTTTGTCTGGAACAGTTCTCGGCCTCTCTTTGTTTTCCATGACATTGACATTGTTGACAAGTTCAGGCCAGTTATTTTGCAGAACATTCCTCAATTTGGGTTGCCTGGTGTTTCCTCGAGATTGGATTCAGGTGGTGAATTTTCGGTGGGCATTCCACAGCTGGGATGCTCTGTCCTGCTTGGTACGCCCTGTGAGGAGCATGTAGCAATTTGAGATTGATAAGTCAGGGAAGTCCTTGCTGAGGACAGGCCATAAGAGCAGAGACCCAAGTGATGAGGAGAAGGGAGCCCCTTCACCATGTCCTTGGCTGAGCAGCTGACCCCTCTAAGCCTCAGTCTCCCTCTGTGTTCAGTGAGGATCATAAAGATACCAAACTTGTAGCAGTGATTTGAGGCCTTGCTGAGATCAAGGATGCAAGGTGCTCACTTAGTACAGCCCCTGGCACTCTGGAAGTACCTGGAGCCTGGGACGAGGGTCCTATCGTGGAATAATTTTCCTGAGCCCCAAGTGTGAAGCTAAGAGACTTTTTTTTTTTTTTAAGATGACCGGTAAGGGGATCTTAACCCTTGGCTTGGTGTTGTCAGCACCACGCTCAGCCAGTGAGCGAACCAGCCATCCCTATAAGAACCCGCGGCCTTGGTATTATCAGCACCGCACTCTCCTGAGTGAGCCACGGGCCGGCCCATAAGAGAGTTTTTATTTTTTTTTTAAAAGATGACTGGTAAGGGGATCTTAACCCTTGACTTGGTGTTGTCAGCACCACGCTCACCCAGTGAGCTAACCGGCCATCCCTATATGGGATCCGACCCCGTGGCCTTGGTGTTATCAACACCGCACTCTCCCGAGTGAGCCACGGGCCGGCCCTGAATAAGAGAGTTTTTCAAAGGGCCAGGCCAGTGTCTCACCGGCCTCAGGCCCTTATCACCTCCTGCCATCCTAGTTTTCCCCACCAGGGACCCCGGGTCTTGCTGGGCAAAGAAGGCACACAGCAGGGGGCAGGTTCAGCTCTGTCATTTCCTTTATTTTTCTTTATATTTATTTATTTATATATTTAAAGAAAAACGACATTTATTGCTTACAGTTTCTGAGGCTGGGAAGTCCAAAGTCCCTTTAGTGATGATGGAGTCTCACATTGTAAGGTGGTGGAAGCAAAGAGGAGAGAGAGAGAGAGAGACAGAGACAGAGACTCTCCACTTTTACAGCCCTCAGAACCACACCCCTGACCACCATGTTTAATCTATTCACTACGGCACGGTCGTACAGTCCAATCACCTCTTCAAGGCTCCACCTTTCAATTACCATAATAGGATTTCCCGCCCTCTTAACAGTCACAGTGGGGGTTAAGTTTCTAATACATAAAACTTGGGGGACACAATTCAACCTTCAATGAGTTTTGGGGGAACAATTCAATCTGTTATATTCTGCCTCTGGCCCCCCAAAACTCTTGTCTTTTCCACATGCAAAACATTCATTTTATCCCCAAAGTCTTAACTTGTTTCAACTCAAAAGTCCAAAGTTCAAAGTCCCATCTGTGAAGTCAATACAAGTTACCTACTTCCAAGATACAATGGTGGGACAAACATAGGGCATATATTCCCGTTCCAAAAGGGAGAAATAGACCAAAAGAAAGGAGAAACAGGTCCCAAACAAGTCCGAAACCCAGAAGGGCAGGCAGTAAATCTCAAAGCCAGTGAATCTTGTAACTTGACTCTATGTTCAGTGTCCTCTGCATGCTGGTGTGGGGGTTGGGTCCGCAAGTCCTCTGGGACCTCCACTGCTGTGGCTTTCCTGGTCTCAGGTGATGCTTTAGCTCTCACAGGCTGGCGTTGCACGTTGGTAGCTCCACAGGTCTGGAGTCTCCATGGTGGTCCTGCTTTCACAGTTCCACTAGACATTGCACTGATGGTATTTCTCTGCTGCAACTCTAACCCCACGTTTCCACTTGGCATTGCTCTAGTGAAGGTTGTCTGTGGTGACTCCTCCCCTGTGACAGATCTCTTCCTGGGCCTCCAAACTTTTCCATACATCCTTTGAAATCTGGGTGGACGCTCCCAAGCCTTCCCAGCTCTGGCATTCTGTGAGTCTGCAGACCTAACACCACATGGATGCTGCCAAGGCTTCCAGCTTGTATTTTCCAAAGCTGCACATCTAGCTACACCCGGGGCCAATTTAGCCATGGCTGGAACAGCCAGAGCAGCTGTGGTACTGGTGCTAGAAGCAGCTTCCTGAGGTGGCCCTGAGCAGTGAGCTTTTTGAGGGTATCTCTGGCCTGTTCCCCAGGACCATTCTGTCTCCCTAGGCCTTTGGGCCTGAAATGGAAGGGTTGGCCCCAGAGGCTTCTGCAGTGCCTTCAGGGCCTTTCCCCCTTGTCTTGATAATCACGTACTTTTGTGTTAATCTTCTTAGTACCATTGAATTTTTCTTCTTCTTCTTTTTTTTTTTTTAAAAAGATGACCGGTAAGGGGATCTTAACCCTTGACTTGGTGTTGTCAGCACCACGCTCAGCCAGTGAGCGAACCGGCCATCCCTATATGGGATCCGAACCTGGGGCCTTGGTGTTATCAGCACCGCACTCTCCCGAGTGAGCCACGGGCCAGCCCGAATTTTTCTTCTGAAAATGCTCTCTGCTTCTCTACCACATGGCCAGGCTGCAAATTTTCTAAATCTTTACACTCTGCTTACCTTTTATTTATTTATTTTTATTATATTTTTAAAAGATGACCAGTAAGGGGATCTTAACCCTTGACTTGGTGTTGTCAGCATCACACTCTCCCATGTGAGCAAACCGGCCATCGCTATATGGGATCCGAACCCATGGCCTTGTTGTTATCAGCACCACACTCTCCCGAGTGAGCTATGGGCCAGCCCTTCTGCTTCCCTTTTAAATTCCGGCTTTATGTCACACTTTTTTGCCACCATAACTCAGCGTAGGCTGCTGCAGGTAGCCATGCAGCTTCCTTAATGCTTTGCTGATTAGAAATTTCTTCCATCAAATGCTCTGGTTCACAACTCTTAAGTTCCAACTTCCACGAAGTTAGTTTCTGAGTCTGTAAAGTCCAAAGTCCATCTGGTGATGGTGACTGTGACCTAGGGGGTCTCACACTGTAAGGTGGTGGAAGGAGAGAGAGAAGAGGAAAGGGGAAGGGAGGGGAGGGAACGGTCATTTCATTTCTGAGTGACCTTGGACAAATCTCCTTGTGAACCTCAGTCTCCCCACCTGTAAGGTAGGGACATTGAGTATCCACTTGCAGCCCGACTGGGAATGTAAAGCCCTTCACTGGGGTTGGCATCTGGCCGTGGCATCACACTTGGGAGCCATTCTAGTGGTGGTAGTAGTGGCCCACAGGCTACTTCTCACCATCAGTTGACAGAGGCAGTGTGGTGCAGTGATTGTATAGCACAAGCTCCAGTGCCTGACTGCCTGGGCTTGAACCCAGGTCCCACCACTTCCTGACTGCACAACCCCAGGGCAAGTGACCTAACCTCTCTAGGCCTCAGTTCCTTATCTTAGAAGTGGGCATCGTAACCACATTTCATAGCATTGTGAAAACAGATGTAAAGTGCATGAAGCACTAAAAACACTAACCAGGATGCAGTAAGTGCTCTAAAAGCCATACTTATTAAATATTCACAACCCTTGGCCATAATGATCTGAAGACCCAGGAGGCCCCTCGGCACATGCCTCTTCCAGCCCCTTTAGGAGAATGCCCTGGAAGGAGGCAGAGGGCTCCACCCCCAGGGACTCCTGTTCATCCACCCCACATCCCCACCCAGTTTCTCTCTCCCTCAGTTCTTTATTCAGTTGGAAGGGGTTCCTCCTGGTCTGCCAGTCCGTGGAACCCGGAATTTATTCTATTTTCCACAGCCTAAGTAGGGCCCCTCATGAAAGGCCCTTAAAAAAAAAAAAGGCCAGGTTATAAATCCATGAATGCCCTTGGAGAATCATAGCTCTTTGGAAAACAGGCTTGGCTGACTGTCGGGGGGCGGGGAGGGGCAGGTGGTAGATGGTATGAGAGGTGGGAGAACAGGATGAGGGTAGGCAGGATTCTTCCTCCCCTTTTATAAGCCTAATATTTAAATAGCACTTGCTCTGGGCCAGCCATGTGCTAACATTTTATGGATATTAACGCATATACCCTAACAGCAAGCCTGTGAAACGGAAGCTGTGTTCTCTGTTTACAGATAAGGAGACTGAGGCCCCAGAGCCCAACTTGCTTTCCTACCTCCTTTCTTCTCTGGCCTATGGAATTTGCTCTCTCTCTGAGATTTCCTCTGAATGAAAAGTTATGTCACCTTAAAAAAAATTTTTTTTAATTGCTTCATCTAATACAATGTTCCCATTTTACAGATGCGGAACTGAGGTTGGGAGATAGGAGTGGGGTTGTGCCCACCTCATCAGGGCTGGGACTTGGAGCTTCTGTTGCTTCTGTGGGAGGGGTTGGGACAAAGGTGTAAGGGATGTGGGCATGTGTAGTAGGAGAGGAGGCGGGGTAACCTCCCCAACTAACCCCATCTCCCCAGGAGCTGCGGGAGCGTGTCCTCAGAGGGAAGTACCGGGTCCCTTTCTACATGTCAACAGACTGTGAGAGCATCCTGCGGAGATTTTTGGTGCTGAACCCAGCTAAACGCTGTACTCTTGAGGTGAGGCCCCAGCCCAAGTCCCCCCAAGTCCCCCTCTCATCTCCTGACTCCCCAAACCCTGCCTACCTGCCCCTGACAGTCCTCCTGCCCTTCACTTTCCTCTCCTGTGCCACCTGCCTAAGATCCATTGCTGGCAGTTGGGGGCAGATGGGCAGCCCAGGAATAGGCTCCCAGGCCCGTCCTGCCGCCATCCTCCAGCAGCTTCACCCACTCCCCGCCTTGCCAGTAATTAGCTAATGAGCTCCTAGGATGATTACAAGGTGCCAGGGACCCAGATGATGTGGAGGAGGGAGGGTGGCATCAGGAGGCTCTGGCTGGGATATGTGGGGAGGGAGTGGGATGAGGAGGCGCTAGCTCTCAGGAAGCCCTTGATTCCAGGGTGTTAGGCATTGGAGGCGTGGGGCAGGGCACATAGCCCCAATTGGGGGCCCTCCCAGGAGGTGGAGAGCTATGTTATTCCTGATTCCTTCTGACGCCTGTCTTCTCCCTTCTGTGCTCCCAATCCCTGCAGCAAATCATGAAAGACAAATGGATCAACATTGGCTATGAGGGTGAGGAGTTGAAGCCATACACAGAGCCTGAGGAGGACTTCGGGGACACCAAGCGAATCGGTGAGGGTCAGGGAGAGCAGGTTCCCCAGAGGCTCAGAGCCACAGGCCACAGAGCCAGGGGTGGAGCCTCCCAGCACCTGTCCCTTTGGTTAGTGCAGCAGAGAAACTTGCAAGGCAATTAGGGAGAGTGGTGAGGCACCTGGCCTCAGTCCCTGCTCTGCCACTTTACAGCTGTGTGTCCCTGAGCAAGTGGCTTCCCTCTCTGTGGTTCTATTTTCTGCTCTGTAAAATGGGAACAATTATGGAACATACCACAGAGTTATTAGGAATATTAGGAATATTAAATGAGTCAATCCACATAAAACACTTAAATTAGTACCTGGGGTGTAGTAAGTGCTGATGCATGTTAGCTTTGACTATTAAGACACAAAAAGAAATCACAGATCACTTCTAGAAGTGTTTGAGCACAAGTCATTGGAGATCTGCATGTTCGAGAAACCCCCACCTTGGCACATGCATCATCCATCACCTCTTTTGTCCTGATCCCTCTGACCCGGAACCCTAGAACTCATAAATCCTAAAGCATTAGCTCTGGCAGAGCTCCTTAGAAACCATCCAGTAACCCTCTAGTCTACAGCTGAGGAAACTGAGGCCACCGTCAGAGCCTGGCTGCTTCAGTCAGGACTTTCATGGTTGCAGGTAACAGAAAACTGAAGTCAATCTGGCTTAAAGCAGAAAATAATAATAATAATAATAATAATAGGTCGAATCAAAAAATAGTAAGTTGAACCATATGAAATTGTTATTTTATAGGTCAAAAATTGTCCATACTGGCAATTTCATATAGTTTAACCTAATAGTAATAATTTATTCATTCACATAACTAAAAAGGCCAGGGTATTTCAGCCTGCAGGCAGAGCTGGATCAGGTACTCAGAGACAGTTGTTGGAATCTTCTCCATGGTAGCTTCTTTCCTAGGCAGCTCTCACCACAGGCCGCAAGCTGGCAACAGCATATTCTAGTAGCCTGCACACTCTGTAAGGAAAAGAAGCCACTTTCCTAATGTTCCAATAGAAGCACCAGGCTGGTGCCTGTTGGCTATCCCTGAATCAGTCACCATGGCCTTAGGGGTGGGACACTCTGATTGGCTAGAATTGTGTCATATGACCACCCTAAACCAATCAATGTAGTTTTAGGGAAGGAATGCTCTGATTGGCCAGACCTGGGACCCATGCCTGCTCTGAACCAATCAGTGTGGCTTTGGGGATGGAGCACTCTGGCCAGACTTGGGTAATATGCCTGCCTGTGGGGTTTGGAGCAGGCAGGAGTCAGCCAGATGATCTGAGGTGGGAAGGAATGTTCTTCCAAGGAAAATCAGGGTGCTACTGGCAGAAGGAAGAATGGATATTGGACAGGCCAAAGAGCAGACATTGCTGAATGATGGAGAAACAGGTGGAAGGCAAGAGTTGGGGAGACTGAACCTTCTCTCCATTCCTCTCTTTCAGAGGTGATGGTGGGTATGGGCTACACACGGGAAGAAATCAAAGAGGCCTTGAGCAGCCAGAAGTACAATGAAGTGACCGCCACCTACCTCCTGCTGGGCAGGAAGACTGAGGTCAGAGGGTGCCAGGGGCCCTTGGGAATGTGCAGTGCATGGGATGGAGGGATTTAGGGGGCAAAGTGGACAGGGGTCTGAGACACATCTGTCATCCTCTTGCAGGAGGGTGGGGACCGGGTTGCCCCAGGGCTGGCCCTGGCACGGGTGCGGGCGCCCAGCGATACCACCAATGGAACCAGCTCCAGCAAAGCCACCAGCCACAGCAAAGGGCAACGGAGTTCCTCCTCTACTTACCACCGCCAGCGCAGACATAGCGACTTCTGTGAGTATCAGCCACACAGCCTCAAATGCCATCCCCCACCCCGAGGCTCAGACCTGTGTTAAGCCAGGGTTCTCTGATTGGCAAGCAACAGAAACATGCTGGAGCTAAATGCAGCGATAGGACTGTCTTGTAGAGACACAGGGGCATTGCATGGACTGTCTTAACTTGGAGGCAGGAATGCGTGGCAAGGCTCAGGATGGGATTAAAACTGGAAAAGCAGCCACACCCAGAGCAAACGCTGTCTGTGTCTTGCTTTCTCTCTGCTTGTCTGGTTTTTCCTTTGTCTCTTACTTATCTCATCTTATCTTTTTGCCTGATCTCTCAGCTCCCAAATTTCTCACATCTCAGTTTTGGAGACCAGCCCAAATGGTAGCTGAAGTCTCTTTGGACCACTCACAGGGATGGAGTGCTGATATCAGACTCCAGTTGGGTAAATCCACTGTAACTGGGGTACAGGAAGACACATTGTACAAAGTGGCTGCTGAGGGCCTGTCCTCCACAATGAATTGAGGGGAGGCTCTTCCTAGTGGAATGGGGCTGGGCAGACAGGCATCCACTGCAGAAAACAAATAGATTCCACCGCCACCACAAATTAGGCACAGAAACTTCCAAGACATTACCCACCTCCTTGTCAAATGTTAATCCTCTCCGCTGATTTTTTTAACAGCTTTATTGAGATAAAATTTATGTACCATACAATTCATCCATTTAACGTGTATGGTTCGGTGGTTTTAAGATATTTACAGAGTGGTACATACATCACCACAATCAATTTTAGAACATTTTCATTACCCCAAAAGGAAACTCCACAGCCCTTAGTCATCAACTTCGAATCCCCTACCCACCTCCATCCCCTGGCAGTTACCACCCTACTCTCTACAGATTTCCTATTCTGGACATTTGAGAGAGATGGAATTATACAAAATGTGACCTTCTGTGACTGGACTCTTCCATTTAGCATAATATTTTCAATGTTTAGCCACATTGTAGCATGTATCAGTGCTTCATTCCTTTTTATTGCCAAATAATATTTAATTGCACAGACATACCACCTTTTTTTCCCGCTGTGGCTGTCTGGTACGGGGATCTGGACCGGACCTTGGTTGTTACAAGGCTGCACTCTAACCAGCTCAGCTCAGCTAACCGGCCAGCCCGCCACCTTTTATCCATCCATCTATTAATGAACATGTAGATCATTTCCACTTTTTGACTACTGTGATTGCTGCTGCTATGAACGTTCATGCACCTGTTTTTGTGTGCATGGGTTTTGCCATCATTTCTCTTGGACACATACCTAGGAGTGAAATTGCTGGGTCATCTGGTAACTCTACATTTAACAGTTTGAGGAACTTCCAAAGTGTTTCCCAACTTTCTGTTATTTTCACAGCCCTTCTTGTTTGCCGGGGTGAAGTTCATTACTCTGGGACAGGCACTAGGGTGGGGAGAGGGGTGCCAGGGAAGTTCAGCGTGAGCCCTCGGCAGGGAGTGCTGGGTTCTGCTCTAGCTGCACTGTTACTGGATGGTCAGACCATTCCCGTCCCCTGGGTCTCATTTTCCCCGTGTGTAGAATAACAAGAGTGGCCTAGAAAGTCCCTAAGGAGCTTATGACTCCAATATCATACAGTTAGAATATGGTAGCCTTCAAAAATCCCCACATAGAGACCTCTTGGATTCCAGGGATTCTTGAAGTGAGTGAAGGATTGTTGATGGGTGCCCAGTGTCTGTGGTTGTCGTTGTAAAGCTCTCAGCTTGTTGTGGTTCTGGGACTTTTGAGCATTAAGGTTCCTGAGGATTTAACATGCAGAAGTTCTGACTATCTGAATCTAGAACATTTTTTACCCCCGATACTAAACCATAGATTCCTAAGATATTCTAAGGGTCCAGATTTATTTTGTTTCATTTTTGAAATTGTTAATACAATCACAGCCTTCAAAATTTGATAGTATGGGGCCGGCCCATGGCTCACTTGGGAGAGTGCGGTGCTGATAACACCAAGGCCGTGCGGATCCCATATAGGGATGGCCGGTTAGCTCACTAGGTGAGCGTGGTGCTGACAACACCAAGTCAAGGGTTAAGATACCCCTTACCGGTCATCTTTAAAAAAAAAAAAAAATCTTTGTCCAACACATATCCCCCAGGCCCCCAGTTACTCTTCTTTGAGGCAGCCACTATTACCAGTTTTATATGATTCACTTGGAGAAATTTTATTCATATACAAACATATAAAGAGATAGATACGGGAAGGGGAGTAGGGAGAAATGGAGGGATAGAGAGAGAGAGAGGAAGGAAGGAAATAAAGACATATAATAATAGTAAATATATTCTCCCCTTTTAATGCAAGTTATAGCCTTTTGGAGATATTTATATACAAGGAGTCTTCAAAAAGTTCATGAAAGGATAGACTCATATTATCTTTTAATTCTATTTTTCTGTGACTTTTTAAAAGTACCCTCATTTAAGCAAATAGATATAGATAAATATACAAAGATATATACTTTTCCCCTTTTTTATACAAGTGATATGGCACTCTATTCCTTGCCTTGTCTTTTCTACTTTACAGCCTATCTTGAAGTTCTTTCATATTGGTACATAAAGCACTTCCACATTCTTTTTTATAGCTGTGTAGTATTGCATTGTATTAGCTGTTCTCCTAATAAGGGACATGTAGGCTGTTCCCGATCTTTTGACCTTACTAAAAAGAAATAGTGATTCAATGAATAGCACATATGTACATTATATCATTTTGTTTGGAGTTTCTGGGTCAGTGTATGTGCATTTACAACTTTGACAGATCTTGTCAGAATGGCTCACACAGAGACTGTAGCCCATGTGAGGGATTCTGAAGTTCCAGGCATCACCCAGTGTTGGTTCTGGGTTTTCCAGGTGATGCCAGCTTTAATTGATACCCTCCCTTCGCCAGGTGGCCCATCCCCTGCACCCCTGCACCCCAAGCGCAGCCCAACCAGCACGGGGGAGGCAGAGCTGAAGGAGGAGCGGCTGCCAGGCCGGAAGGCGAGCTGCAGCACAGCAGGAAGCGGGAGTCGAGGGCTGCCCCCATCCAGCCCCATGGTCAGCAGTGCCCACAACCCCAACAAGGCAGAGATCCCAGAGCGGCGGAAGGACAGTACGAGCACCCCTGTGAGTGGCCGGGGATGGGGGCCCGGGCAGGGGTGCAACCATGTGTGGCCCAGCCTGCAGATGCCGCCTAAGTCACATTCCCCAGACCGCCACATGGAACTCCTTATTATATCCATTCATTCATCCATTTATTCAACGAACATTTATTGAGTGTTCTCTGTTTGCCTGAGATTGTGCTTGATGCTAGTGTACAAATTAGCATTTACTGTCAGAAACAGAAAGAAGTGCAGTAAGTGCTTTTGGCAGGAAGGATTTAATACAGGGAATTAAGTGCTTTCAAAAGTGTAGGAGAGGCTGGTTGGTTAGCTCACTTGGTCAGAGCATGGTGCTGATAACACCAAGGTCAAGGGTTCGGATCCCTGTACCAGCCAGCCACCAAAAAAAAAAAAAAAAAACACAACATGGAAAAGTCTGGAGGAGCAGACAATGGGCTAGACCTACAGGAGTGACACTCAACAGCAGAACTGACTCACCAAGGGAGCTGCTACCTCTGAGGCTGCCCAGCACTGGGGAATTCAAGAACATATAGTCATGGCTGTAATCCAAGACTCAGAAACCTCATCCTCCACCAGAAGAACCTCTCAATGCCCTGAGTGCTGGAGAACAGGCCCTAGAGCCCTGCTGAAGCTAAGACCCTCATCTCATGACCTTGCCTGTGTGAGCAGAAGCCAAAGGGGGCAGGAAAGTACCTGCCACCCCATTTCTACTGTCTGAATCCTCATGAGTACAAAGATTGGCAGAACCCAATTCATATCCAGAATCTGAGCTGCAGAGGAGTCTGGGAAATGTAGTCTTTGGCTTTCCTGTATCTGCATGGCATAGTACAGGCTCAGGAAACCAAATGGTATAAAATGGTTGAGGAAACCAAAATATCCTTGACATAGGAATACAAGAGTGGAGGCAGGTTAGGAAAGGGGTTGGGACCCTGAAGCTGCACAGAGTAGAGTTTGAATTGCATTGATGAGCTGTGTGACCTTGGGCAAGTGACTTCATCTCTCTGAGCTTCAGTGTTCCACTCTGGAAAATGGGCTCATTAAAAAACCTGTGTTGTTATGAGTATCTCGTAAGATCTTATACATAAAGCACTTCACACAGTGTCTGGCATAGTTAGCACTCAGTGAATGAGAGCTGTGGTTATTGTTAAACTAAACCCACACCTTAAGAAGCTAGAAAAGGAACAGCAAATTAGCTCCAAAGAAAGTAGAAGGTAGGAAGTATTAAAGAGAAGAAATCAGTGAAGGAGAAAACAGAATTGCACTAGATCAAAAACTCAGAAAAGGGCCGGCCCGTGGCTCACTCGGGAGAGTGTGGTGCTGATAACACCAAGGCCACGGGTTCGGATCCCATATCGGGATGGCCGGTTCGCTCACTGGCTGAGCGTGGTGCTGACCACACCAAGTCGAGGGTTAAGATCCCCTTACCGGTCATCTTTTAAAAAAAAAACAAAAAAAACAAAAACTCAGCAAAGCCAAAAGTTGATTCTTTGAAAAGATTAAGAAAATCAGTAGAACCCAGGCAAGACCAAGAACGATGAACACAAATTACAAGTGTCCAAAATGAGCAGGAGGACTCTGTTCTAACCTGAAAACCTGGTGATATGTGAGGAACGACCTTATGCCAATAGATTTGACAACTTAGATGAAATGGTCACGTTCCTTTAAATACGATTTACCAAAACTGACATGAAAAGAAATAGAAGACCTTATATTTTTTTATTAAAGAAATTGAATCCATAATTTAAAACCTTTGCCATAAAGAGATTTCCAGGCCCAGATGGCTCCCACTGGTGGAATTCTTCCAGACATTCAAAGAAGAAATAGTGCCAATTTTAGACAAACTTCCAGAGAATAGAAAAGGGGGGATCTCTTCTCCACACATTTCATGCAGCAGCGTAATCCCAGTGCCCTCTGTCTTCACAGAGCTCCCTGTCCAGAGTGGGAGGAGCAGGGTGGGGACATATATGTGAACAGACATTGACAGCACAGTGTGATGGAGGCTGCAGTGGGAGCCCAGGGGCCTGTGGGAGCCCAAGGAGGTATCTGACTCAGCCTGGGAGTTGGGATATATTGTGAAATGACACCTGAGAGGTATGTAGGAGTGAGTCAGGGGAAAAGGTAGGAGGAATGTTCTAATAGGTGAGACAGGTTGTGCCAAGGCTAGGAGGGGAGACCATGTGTGGCGTGAATAAGCATGTGAACAAAAAGTTTGGTGTGGCTGGGCTGTACCCTGCGAGGGCAGGTATTGCTGGAAGAGGTGAGGTAGACACAGATGCCCTCTGGAAACGTTCCCTCTCTCCCTCAGTTTCCCCCTCTCCTCTAAGCTCCAATGGTCTCCCTGACACAGCCTAGGTGGCTGGTATCGCCCATGAACTTCCATGTCTTTGGGGCCTGTAAACCATCTCCTACTCACTCTTGGTTCCCCCACAGGCCCTGACTCAGTCATCATGAGCGGGGGAAGAGAGGGTGAGAGGGAAGAGTTAAGGGCACCTCTTCACCTCCTCACTCTCTTCCTGGCCATGTCTCCCACAGAACAACCTCCCTCCCAGTGTGATGACCCGCAGAAACACCTATGTTTGCACAGAACGCCCAGGGGCTGAGCGCCCGTCCCTGTTGCCAAATGGCAAAGAAAACAGGTATGAGAGGGCAGCAACAGGGTGGTGGAGGGAGGGGGGAGGTGAGCAGGACCCCCCCATTGATCTAAGGTGATGGGTGTTCAGGGAGGGTGCCATGGGGACTGGAGAGTGGATGTGTCTGTCCTTCCCATGGTAGAATCTACCCATCTAACCCCTGCTCCCGGATCCCCATGAAAACCCGCTCCACTTAATTAATTAGTCAGCAGCACCAGGAAAGCTGTCTGCCCTGTTCTCCACCTACGAGAGCCTTGGGAACCTGAGTTGATTTTTTGAATGATCCATTTTTAGAACTTGAGAGAAGCCCCAGAATGTTGCAGCTTCAACATCATCTGGTTGCTGGTTTTCAAACTTGTTTGCCCAAGTTTAAGTTTCTTTTACCTGACAAGTGAGGGAAACCAATTCACACTGGCTGGGTCATAACAAGGGAATGAATTGGTTCACATTACAGTTTAAGTCCAGAAGCAGGGCCAGCTGCAGGATAAGGACACTCCCGCCCACCAGGACTGTAGGGCATGTTAGTGGCCGACACTGAGGCATGCTCAGGGATGCACCTTATAAATGGATGCAGGTGTTAGTGTTTGGCATGGGCAGAGTAACAGAGTGGTTGACAGTCATGTTTCTGTGACTACTCAGTCTGAGGTGGAGTCTTGGCTCTGCACTCTGCTAGCAAGATTAGCTTGGGCTCATCTCTGTGCCTCTGTTTCTTCCTCTGTAAAATGGGGTTGATGCTGTCTGCCTCCAGGCCCCATTAGAGGGATCCAATAGAGGGGAGATGTATCTTATACCTAGCACAGGGTCTGATATGCAGTAGGCATTTGATGAGTGAAAGCTTTTTTGGTAGTTACTAAATAAAAACAATAATAGTGAACAGTCATCAAGCAGCAACCATGTGCCAGACCTCTATGTATATTAGGTGGTTTCCTGCCCCTAACAACTCCGTGAGGTAGATCCTAGTATCTCCACTTTACAGCTGAGGAAGTGAGTCACGGAGAGGTGAAGTAATTTGTCCAAGGCCACGCAGCTGGTAAGTCAAGGATCAAGGAGCAAAGATTCCAGACTGACTCCATAAGCTACATTTGTAACCACTATGGTACATGGCCTTCCAGGTCTGGTCAAGAGACAGTGAATCAGTTAGATTATAGACTCAGTTGCTGTAACAGAGGGATCCCAAGGTACAGTCGCTAAAATAAGATGGAGGGTTAGTCCTCTGTGACTTAACTGATCAGAGGTAGGCTGACAGAGTCCTCCAACAACCCAGATTGATTCTACCTGGGTCCTGTCTCAACATGAGGCTCTACCTCTGGGTCTGAGGCCACTGCACCAGTTGCCACCATTTCCCAACCATCAAGAAATGGGCAAAGAAAATAGGAGGCAAGCAGCACTCTTTTTTTTTTTTGTCTTTTTTCGTGTCCGGCAACAGATCGCAACCCTCAGTGTCGCGCCCGTACCGGACCGGGACCGGCAACGGGATCGCAACCCTCGGTGTTGCGCCCGCACCT